ATATATATATAATTTTTTAGGTGTAGTCAGTCTCTAATTAAATAGAGTTTTACTTCGTTAATATACGTAAATGTATGTTAATAAAATATACATTGTATATTATTAAGATAAATTAAAATTTTAATTCTAATTATAAAACAATACCAATTTCATCTAACAAGCTGTATATAAATTTTATTCAGAAAAAAAAGCGTTTTAAAACAAAATAAAACAAACGGATCGAATATAATGCTCAATCTGCATACCATTTAATAGTTTGGACACATTGTCTCACATTTGTTATTTTAACTATCACTATTTTTTCTAATTTAAGTATTTCCTATATAAATATTCGAGAACATGAAATAATTGGAAGACAAGATAACAATTTTGTAATTAAAAAGTAAAAATAAAAAACACATATAAACTAGCCTTAATTTTTCCATTTCCTAATTTTAATTATAGTTATCTATTCCACTGTTAGTGTCTAGTGTGGAACAACTTGTGTATTAGCATTAGCATGCATATCGATGGTTGGATTATCTGGACTGTCTCATCTGTCAGTGATGCACTACTGTTCATTATTGGGCTGTCCGTTTAGCCCACTTTTTATTGCTTTCGGAACCTTTCTCTATATGCTTTTGTGTCTAATCTTTGTTACACTCATCTTATTTATTAGAAATATCTTTCATTCTTTTTCTTACATATAAATACTTTTTCCTATATTTTTTTTTTTTTTTCAAATAATGTTTACATATCTACTCTTCCGCATTTTTTCCTTTAGAAATTACTCTTCAAAATAATATATGTTTATCCCGAAAATTACTTTATAGGATGACAAAGAGATGCAAATATAATGTTATGTTCGTTCTGTTCTATAACATGCATCTTTCGACCCAACGAAAGAAAATAGTTAATTCCACCTAATATATTAGAATTCTAATTGTTAAAATTATTATAAACACCTGTTTGCATTTTCAATTTTATATTGTTATATATATCTTTATACTTTGGACAAAAAATTGTCTTATGATTTTTTGAACAATACAAAATAAGATTTTCGTCATCTTCTCCTTCATCTTATTTTTTCTACCACATGATTTTTTTAAATCAAACACACAACTATTATATTTGTCCTATCTATTAACACGATTTTTAATAAATCAAACAAACAATTAAAGCAACAAAGAATGTTTTATAAATGCGGTTACAGAGACAGAAACCAATTAACACAAAAGAAGAAGATGGTAAAAGAAAAAGCGAGCATGGCATGCATGCACCATGCACGATACATTTTTGACCCTACACTATCCATCCACACAAACCAGAACTCCAAGCACGAACATATAAATCACTCACAAAAGCACAACAAAAATCTTGGATCCCGCTACCCCTCCACACGAACCTCACATCATAACTCCACCCATCAAACCCACTACTCCAACAACAACAACATTATTCACCCACTTCATCGAACACCCTGCAGAAACATCCGCCGGCAAAGCCTTCCCGTCGCTTCCATCATCCCCGCCGCCGGCGCTATCATCCGCCGCCGTGCCATTCCCTTTGTCAGACTTCGGCAACCCCTTCTTGGCCAACGACGGCGCCGGCGCCGGCGCCTTGCTGGGGAGCACGAGGTCGAGGGGAAGAAGCACCTTGTCCACCTGGTATATGGCCAGCTTGTTGTCGGAGTAAACGGTGCCGGTGACGGAGGCGTTAACGGCGCCGGTGGGCATGCTGACCTGGCTGCCGCCGTAAGTGGTGACGTTAAGTTGGAGCCTCTGAGGGTCGTCACCGGCTTGCGTTTGAACGGGGTTGGTGAGGGTATCGAAGTTGGAGATGGAAAGGTAGGAGGAGAGAGTATGGAACTGCAAGAGCTCCACCTTCTGTCTGTCAGTGAGAGAGTTGAGGAACCCTGCTTTGAGTTTGGAGAAGGCACTGTCTTCTGGTGCGAAGAGGGTTAACCCTCCTGACCCTGAAGTTACGAGCTGTGAGTTTAGTTGGTTGATGAGTTGCGTGGTTTTCAAGAGGCGAGTGAGCACGGAGAACCTTTTCGCTTTTCTCAGGATTTGGACTATGTCAATGGTGGGGCCTTTCGGAATGGTGCTGGCGGGTGTGGGGGCCCCACTTGGGGTTACTGGGACAAGAGGGACAGTGTTGAATCCCGGCGCCGGAGCTGTTGCCGGCGGCGTGGGGACTGCCGGAGACGGCGGCGAGGCTTGGGGTAGTGGTGGTGATGGTGGGGATGGTGATGTTGTGGGGGGTTGGATTGGCGAGAGTTGGGCTGAAGTGGTGTAGAATAGTGCTAGTAGTAGTAGAATGGTGATGGGAATAATGAGAGATTGAGATTCTTGCATGATCCTCATTTTTAGGGTTTTGAGAGTTGGAGTGCTAGGGTGAATATAGGATAGATGTTGTTTTGAGACTACTAAACTGCTTGGGGTGTGAGAGAAGTGGGAGAAGAGTTGCCTTTTATTTGGGGGATGGAAGGGATCGAATGATTGGTAGCTAGGTGGAATGTTTAGGTTAGAATGATACACCTAGTTGTAATTAAAAAACAAATGTCTTCTTTCATTGTCATGGAAAGGTGGTGCATCATAGTGTGATAAGTGATGAGGGAGGGGATATTTGGGAGTGAGAACCCTAGAGTGTACATGCATGGGAACTATTTGCTTTCACATCGTTGTTGCAATCAGTTGGATGCATGGGATAAAATATAGTTGGCGGGGATGATTAGTCTGTATATTGGTTTAGAATTTCCATCAAGTAGGAGAAAAATAAACCCAATATGGTAGCCATCTAAACTGGCCTTGTCCCAGAGAGATTTAGGTAAGGATGGAGGGCCTAATCATATACTGAATCCGATCATATATCTCTCCATTTGATTACATCTCAAGACTTGGGAAAAATATATATTTGTACACCTAAATGTCCTACATATGCAGTGAAAGAGGGTAAAAAATAAAATGGAAATCTATCCTCCCATATGAAATATTTACTTGGATTCTCCCCGGTGAAAGTTTCTAATATTAAAACTTTACACCTTTTATTTATTATACACTTTTTTTCTCTTATTTTATTCAAGGGTTCAAATTTCATGTACAGGAAAATTACAAGAGAGAATTTAAACTAAAAAAAACTTATATAGATATTGGAGATAATATGATGTAATTAAAAAAAAAGACGTAAAAATTAAATTAAGAAACATTAATGTAGTAGTTAAAATAAAGGATGTTTAAAAATCATTGCTCCAAAACTTAATTATCAGACATTAAAATCCTTTTTCTTTTCTTTTAGAGAATATATTATTTATATAATTTTTTATAATAATTTCTATCGTATTTTTTTTTATCCCCCTATAACATCAATTATCCTGCTTCAATATTTTTTTTGTTGTACAATTTTTTGTACGATATAATTGTATAAATTAATGTGACTGATCAAATTCTTAAAATCTAAAGATTTAAAAAAATGAAGTGGATATTTTTATGTGTATTTTTATTTTATTAATAAAAATTATAATGATAGTTGCAAAATTTAAACTTAATTTTTTATTAATACCATTCGAACCATTCATTATATTAGGCCTACCTTAATCATTATTTTTTATGTGTATAAGTGCACCTTCAATTAATTATAAGATTAAGCTTTTCTCTTAACAATTTTGGACGCCTATCCATCCTTCGTATAACAATTGTGTTTAATTTTTATTGGGAGAACCCCTTAAAAAAATTAATTGGGAAGTAATTTCCGTAAAATCTATTTAGTGCTAAATTACTTGTATTTTTTTTTGAGAACGTAAATTACTTGTATTGATTATTTAATATATGCATAGTTTTTTATATAAAAAAAAATTTCTATAGGCTTCCAATAGTATATTAATTGATAAAAACATTTTTAAAAGCTTGCTAATAGTTTTTCTTTGGTGAGTTATCCATGATAATTACTTTAAGTTTACAGCAATAAGTTAATTTTGGATGAGAGGCAACTTCTATTGTCGTAATCTTTTATTTATCAAAGAAAAGTAATACCAAAAAAATGAATGTTTATTTTAATTTATTTTAAAAAATAATTTTTTTATTGTTGTCAAAACATACACTAAGACTTCCTTCAATATTAATTAAAATTTTAATTATCTTTTTAGTTCTTACAGTTTCATAAATTTTATCTTTTAGTTTTTTATGATTAAGAATATTTTATTTTAATTTATATATGGCGGCGTGGGGG